AGGTTCTATCCCTGGATCTCATAAGGTCCCTTGAGCCCTCCAGGAGTGATCCCTGAGCTCAGAGCAAGAAGTAAGCCCTGAGCACCATCAGGTGGGGCAAAGGAAGGAAGGAAGGAAGGAAGGAAGGAAGGAAGGAAGGAAGGAAGGAAGGAAGGAAGACCGAAAACAAGCCAAGGAGGAGAAGGAGAATTTGGAAGAATCAGAAAGTCCCAAGAACTGGCAACAAGCTTCGTCCGTTTTTTTTTTTATCATTTTTATTATTTTATTCCTTTTATTCTCATGAACAACATGTCATTAAAAAATAAAGAAAAAAGAAAAGTTATCTTGATGCCATGGCTCTCCATGTACATTACTAATTATAATATCACAAGACTGAGGTCATAAAACAACATTAATATGTATACTTTATGTGCCCTATTACTTTAAAACACAAAGCAAGAGAGAAGGCATAGATTAACACCTATAGGATGTGGTAGAAAGATGCTCTAGTACAAACTTACATAAACTTAGAATCGTATGTTATCTTCTCTCCTTTTCTCTATAAATATTAGATGTTCACTGTGATAATATGTGTACAAAATCAGACTTTGTACACAAAATCAAAAACAAGCTTCTGTTTGGTTACGGCACTTGAGGCCAGGAAAGGAGAGGATGGGACAAGCAGAGGGGTGTGAGCAGGTCACACCCGCTTCCTGAAGACCAGCCCAGGGTGGGCAGGGGGAACAGGAGCAAGAGATGGTGCGGATCCACTCCTGCACTTATTTTCTTGTTTTTGAAGGAGACCAGCTTTGTGCTTCTCAGTACTGGGGGGTTTCTGGGGACCCAAGAATGCCCAGGAAAAAAAAACTCTAGTGTTGCTGGAGAGGCGGAGGAAAGACACTTTCACATAGGGGAATGCATTTTAAAGGGACAGAGACCAAACGAGAAGGCTCCCGGTCATCCTGCCCGGGGAGCTGCTTCACCCTCTGTGCTGTCTGCTGCTGCAGGGAGAGAGAGAGACAGCTTAGCCTAGGATGATGATTCATTAAAGGCTCAGCGCTGAGGACTCCAAGTCAGGAGAGAAAGAGACTTAGAGACCCATTCACTGAGAGGGTCTCTTTTATCCCCTAAAAGTGGGCTACAGCCTACATACATTCTTACTGGTGAAACAAGGGAGACAGAGCAAAAGGCAAACAATCAGTTCATCTTTCCCACATGGTACAGCCTTCAGATGCACAAAAGGAAAACTGTGTCAGTGTTTCCTGCCCATCTGCTGTGGTGTTCAGGTGCCACCTCCCATGCAAGCCCATCAGTCTGGTGGGCTGGTGGGTCCTTAATTCGGTTGGTGGGCCCTTAACTCCTCCCCTCTCTTCTTTAAGCTAGGGGTCAGTTTCAGTTTCCCAGTCCCCATTACATTTTCTAAGTTCTCATTACAGTTTCATAATTCTCATTACACACAGCTTCTTATTTGTCATTACACCTGTACTGACCCGTTGCTGCCTTAGTGGTTCACAGGTGGTGGTGGTGTGTGTATGTGGGCAGCAGGGGCAGGGGGTGAATCCTAGGCCTTTGGTCTGAGGCTGAAAATGTGACCCAGGCACCAACAGCCATGCCAGAGTGATCAGTCTCATCCACCAGCTTCTCCCGAGGGAAAGTGTGGCATTGGTTTTGCTGAGAGCCGTGGGAAAGCTGCCCCTCTTCGTCCTCTTTCAGGGATCTCAAATAAAGTCACCTGAGAGTCACTTCTGAATTTACATTTTCCCTTTTTTTTCTGCGGTGCTGGGGATTGAACCCACGCCTCAACATACAAACAAGACAAGTGTGCCAGCCCTGAGCCACCTTCCTGGTTCTCTCTTTTGAATTTCAAAGGAGTCAACTGTCAGTGCCCCATTGAGTAGCACTGCACGATAGCGCTATCCTCCCAGTAACGTCTCCGTTGTGAGACTTGTTGTCCATTGTGAGACTTGTTGTTCTGTGTTTGGCATATCGAATGGGTAGCTTGCCAGGCTTTGCTGTGAGGGCGAGATACTCTCGGTAGCTTGCAGGGCTCTCCAAGAGGAGTGGAGGAATCGAACACCGGTTGGCCGGGCCTGCTGGGTGCAAGACAAACGCCCTACCGCTGTGCTATAATCCACACTGTAGGCATTTGAAATACAGATTCTGTGGGGTCTTTGCTGGTTTTGCCAGTCAGGGAGAAAGCTGCAATAAATCAGGTAGCCCTGAACCACAGGGATCTGACCAGGTCCTTCAAACAGGCCAGGATGGACTTCTCTTTCCCAGGAAGAGATGCACATACTGGGGCCAGGGCCTGGGAAATTATCAGTACAAAACAAAAAAAAAAAAGTGCAAAGCCCAAGTTCACGAGCACATCTCCCACCCACAGGACTCCTTACATGGTCCATTTGCTAGTTATTCAATTAAAAGAGATTGCAAATGAAAACTCCACATTTTAAAGGGACAGCTGAAAGTCTCTGGAGCCTCAAACCGACCAAGCAAGAGTTCTCTTTTTCCTTTTAAGAATAAAAGGGGGACCTCTCTGGAAAGAAAGATGGCGGCCGCATGGGAGCCTTGTGGAGAGCAGGTCTGAGCCGGGGGTGGGGGCGTGACTGAAACGTCATGGGAAGGGGGCATTCCGGCCCGTCCTTCACGCCCTACCGAGGTCACCAGTTGCCCCCCACAAGCGGCTCTCTGGCACGGCCACGGCCCCAGAAGCACAGAAACCAATCTCTTAATTATCTGACTCTCAGTAGAAATACTTCCAGGGTTAATAAATAAAATAGCAGAAATCCAAAACCGTGCGACTAGCGGCTGCGTGACATCATTTAATTCTTGAACCCAGCTGTAGAAAGCAAATCATTTCACAATGCTTTTTCAGCATGGCTGATTGGGGGGGGGGGTGAAGTCTAAATAATAATGGTGCGACTTTTATCGAAACAATGAAGCTAGTCAAAGTAGACAGAGTGTTAACTAGAATTCATCTGCCCCACAGGCATTGGGGGTGGGGGGGTTTATTGGGGTCCTTCGTGGTGAAAAATAAGTATTGGTAAAGGGAAATGTGATTGATATTTGCATGACCGAGACCTAAACCTGAAAGCTTTGTAACTTTTTCCACAGCGATTCAATAAATAAAAACAATTAAAAAAAAAAAAGAATAAAAGGGGAGTGCTTACTTCGGCAGCACATATACTAAAATTGGGACGATACAGAGAAGATTAGCGTGGCCCCTGCACAAGGATGACACGCAAATTCGTGAAGCATTCCACATTTTGGGGAACATAAAGTAACAAAATAGGAGACTAACACCCAAGAATGGCCGAGATTAGTACCAGGAATTTTGCTCCATGGCTTGGAGGCCAGCCACACATGCTAGGGGAAAAGGGAGCTCAGATAGAGAAGGGAGCACCAAATAAAGGGTGGTCCCCTGAGCAACACCAGGAGTGATTCCTGAGTGCAGAGCCAGAAATAACCCCTGAGCATTGCCAGGTGTGACCCCCCCCCCCCCAAAAAAAAGAATAAAACGGGAAATGCCTCTTTGGTTGGACTCCACCACTTCATGACTGAGCTTTGCAGGAATGCTAAGCTGCCAACAATTTCAGGTATATGTGTGTTTTTTTCTTTTTGGCTAAAACCTCCAGGTCTTCTCAGGATGGGTGACCCCCACCAACACCTTCCCGTACTTCTGGAAGCCTCAGTAGTCACACTCATGTTCCCCCACCACTGCCACCTTGTAAGCACATCCACCAGCCCAGTTCCAGAGACTCATAAATAAATCTTTAAAGAGATTAGCTAACCACAAAAAGTTCTCATCTATCTGGTCCCACTCAGACCTCTGGGGAGAGCTCCACAGGGGCTGGAGCCAAGTTCCCACCCTGCCAAAGCCCTGGCAGCCACACTCACCCCAACCGCTGCCTCCATCCTCCAGCCAGACCGCCCAGTTAAGTATTATGGATTTTCTGGACTCAGAAGCAAAGAGTTTCCAAAGCCCCCAAGTTCCTGCATATGAACCCGTATATGTCAATAGTGGGGACCACAGAAACACACACGAGTAGGCTTCCTTGTTCTGCTCAACACCAACTTTATTGACATCAATAGGTACAACAGAAGCCCGATACCTTCCCAATTGCAGGCATGTTAACATTTAGAAAAATTTAAACATAATCATGCTACATGACTTCGTAGGGAAGTACTTCTGCCTTCACGGGTTCAAAGCTATGTTAGAAAATCTTCCTAACAAAACCACATGTCTCACAGGGAGCACATGAGTCTCAGGAGAAACTTGGGACTCTCTCAGGATTCTTGAGTTCCCAAGCTTTGTATAGAGAAGCCAAGGCAGCCCTGTGGATGCTGGATGGTCTCCCTCTTGCAGGCAGTGCTCAGTTTTTGAGAAACAGTTATAAAAGACAGATTGACCAGAGAAAACACTTAAGGACACAGTGTATGGAGCTGCAAAGTCATGGACACAGAACAGAAACCAATATCTGCTTGAGCCTTCCAAGGGGTATTCTGGGGCAGGTATGGGGACCACAACGAACTGTGTGACCTGGGGAACATCAGCATGGGGGACAGGGAGGGTAACAACATCAAGGCAGTTGAGAAGTACATGTGACTGGTCGTATTTTTTTGTTTTTGTTTTTTGAGTCACACCCAGCGATGTTTGGGAGTTAGTCCTGGTTCTGTACTTGGGAACTACTTCTAGAGGTGCTGGGGGAGACCATATGGGATGCTAGGGATCAAACCTGGGTCAGCTGCTTTCAAGGCAAACATCCTCCGCTGTCCTACTGCTCCAGCCTGTCATGTGACTGCTCCTCCCGCCCCCCCACCCCGCCCCGCTGCCCAAAGGACTCATGAGGGGTGTGAGGTGGATTTGTTTATGTGAACTTGGATCAGACACTGTCTCCTACTGAACCAAGTAAATGAGAATACGAGGGAACCACCCCATGTCCAGATTTTTCTCCTACACCTGGCCTGAAAGTTGGGTGAATAGTCAAGTCTGGGTCGGGGATTTCTCAATGACAAAACAACAAGAAGAACGACCCGGCCCAAATCATGCTCCCTATTTGGCTTCAAGGGCTGAGAACTGATGTGTGAGTCCTGTACCCAAGAACTCCTCTCCTGCTTTTCCTGAACTGGCCTGTGCCTTGAGCCCTACTCCACCCAGGACACGGTGCAGGAGCTGCAAAGAGGCTACTGCGTGGACCCTCTGCAGCCTGAGACCCGAGGTGAGGGCTGTGCCCGTGCATTTGTGTGGTGCGTGGGGGGGCTGAGGCAACCCCTCAGTACAGGCCACTCTGGGCTGCCAGGGGAAGAAGACCCTCCGGCAGCAGAGTCCCCCAGCGCTTGGCAATTCCTCGATGAACTCCAGTCTGTGAGGGGCACCCGGGTCTGTCTGTGTTTCTCATCCAACACCTGCTAGTCGACACAGTTCTTGACGAGCTTGACACTCCTGTCCATTGGTCGGATGCTAGTGGATACATTAACGGTGACTTCTTCTGTGGGTGTTCGCTTAGCGTCCCTTTTAACCTGTGGAAAGGGGGCACTGAATTACTGACAGGGCACTGAAAGGAGAGATGGTCAAAGATCTCTCAATGTACATTAATCTCCTGAGGGTAAAACAAATGGGTGCACATCCGGAGGTAGGAAGAGAGGCCGACAAGAACACACACACACACACACACACACACACACACACACACACACACAGGTGACACTGTTGAACTTCCAATAACAACCAAACACAGAGGCTGCTGGGAAGGCCTCATCAAACACTGCTGAATGAATGAATAAATGAATGAATGAATGAATGAATGGGCCCACTAAGGCCACCACTAGAGAATGGCGTGAAAAGGTTCACAGTCAGTTTGGCTCCAGCGATTAAAGCTGTGAGCTTTGGACTCAGACTTTGGTTCCAATGCTCCCAGAATTTCACTCACTGTAACTAACTGAAAAATTAGTTCTTTTCTAACCTCTCTAATCCAGACCTTTATCATCTGGAAAATGGACAATAGTAGGGGCCAAAGAGGTAGTGGAGGGGATAAAGCTTTGCATGCAACCCACCTAAGTTTGAATCCGTGACACCATATATGGTCCCCTGAAAACTAGCAGGGGTCACGCCTAGATAGAGAGCCAGTAGAAGCCCCTGAGCACCACATGGTACGGCCCACCATCCTCCCACCCCCAAATAAAGAAATAAATTAGTGCTCAGGGATCACTCTTGATGGACCTCAGGGGGTGATGTGGGGTGCTGGGAATAGAACCAAAGTCAGTCACGTGCAAAGCAAGCACCCTCCCATAGTGCGATTTCTTAAGCCCTTTTTATTTTACATTTTTATCCTGGACATACCTGGAGGATCTGGGGGCATTCAGGGCTACAGTAAGCAGTACTCAGGGGTCTGCAATGCTGGGGACTAGAGTCAGGGCAGTGCTCCATTTCCTGAGCTATCTCCCTAGCTCCCAGACCATATTCCAGGGACATCACCCCAACTATAGCTGCTGATAGCAATGCTATTTGCAAAATGACAGTGTCAGTCACAAAACCCAATTTAAATGGATAACCTTCTCACTCTCCCAAGCTGATGCCTATTAGCACCCCTGCTTCCGAGGAACAAGTCCTGGACAAGATGAGCTTCTGAATAAAAGCAAGTCAAGGGGCCAGACTAATAGTATAGTGGGTAGGGTGTTTGCCTCGTATGTGGCTGACCTGGGTTCGATCCCTGGCATCTCATACAGTCCCCAGAGCAACTCTAGGAGATATTCCTGAGTACAGAGCCAGGAGTAACCCCTGAGCATTACCAGGTGTGACCCAAAAAGCCGAAAAAAAAGGAAAAAAGAAAAGACAAGCCATGAATCTATAAGCCATCAGATCCAGAAGTTTCCACTGCATAAAAAAAAATGCATTCCCAACCAGAATGATAGAACAGCAAGCATGGTGCTTGCTTTGCATGCAATCACAACCAGCACTGTGTATGGTACCCTGAGCACCACCAGGAGTGATCCCTGAGCATAGAGCCAGGAGGAAGCCCTGAGCACCACCAGGTGTGGGCCCCTCAAAACAAAACAAAACAACATCCACCCCAAATCAAAGAAAATGCATCTGCTTTCTGACACTGCACTGTATTCCACAGAGCAAATAGAACTGGAACAGGGGTACTCTTGGGAGCATTTTACAAAGGAGAAACCTTCAAAGCTGAGGTTCATGGGGAGGTGTGTCTGCCAGGACAGGGTGGAGAATCTGGGCCTCACAACTGAGTTACACCCCAACTGAGGGGGGCAGGGCAGGACAATGGCAGACGATTTCTCTAGAAACTCTCAGACATGCATTGGGTTGGCCCTTGAGGAGATAAAGCACTTCAGAGACAGGGTCCATCATCCCCTCAGGGTGGGGGGTGGGCCTTTCAGACACCTCCTCGAGATCTTGGGGTCACACAGCTCTTCCTGTTGGGTGGAACTTTGAGCCCATCAAACTGTACCCCTCCCGCCCGCTTTCCCGAGTGATGGAGAAGAAAATGTGCCCCTCTTCAAATGACTGATGGCAGAGGAAGGAATCCTTGATCCCGGTTTAGCGATGAGTGAAGGTCCCTTTGGCACTTCTGTATGGCTCTGGTGGCTGTGTATGCACTCAGTCCTCCCCCCCACACACACACACTGCTGGGAACTGGGGATTGGGGGCACTCTTAGTTCTTATTAATGGGCAAGAATATCACCCAAGTTTGCCATGTTTCACACACCTCTTTCACTCCCACGGGTCTCACCCCCCATGAATCATCTGTCTCAGCCTTCTTTCTTTTTAAATTTTTTTACAAAGCTGTTCACGATTGGATTTCAGTCATACAGTGTTCCAGCACCCATCCCTCCACCAGTGCACATTTCCCAGCACCAGTGTCCCCAGGTTCCTTCCCATCACTCCCACCCCTCACCCCCTGCCTGCCTCTATGGCTGGTGCTTTTCTTTGATTCTCTGTCTCTCTCTCTGTCTCTCTGTCTCTGTCTCCCCCCCCCCCACTTTGGGGTATTATGGTTTGTAATATTGATACTGAAAGGTTATCCAGAATATCCCTTACCTACTTTTAACCCTCAGATTTTGTCCAGTGTGATCATTTCCTGCTATTATTACCATTCTGGTCTCTTCTCTATCTTATCTACCCTAAGCCCCCCACACACTTGTGGTTAGTTACAACCATTGACAAGTCTTTCTAACTCCTGTTTTCCCTGCCATGGATATTAGTCTTCTACTCTCTCTCTTTCTCCTCTCTTTCTCTCTCTCTCTACATATATATATATATATATATATATATATATATATATATATATCATGGTCACAGTCATGGTCCTCCCATTGTTCATCAATTTGCTTGAGCGGGCCCAGTAACGTCTCCATAATGAGACTTGTCGTTACTCTGTTTGGCATATCAAATACATCACGGGTAGCTTGCCAGGTTCTGCCGTACGGGTGAAGATACTCTTGGTAGCTTGCCGGGCTCTCCGAGAGGGGCGGAGGAATCGAACTCGGGTTGCCATGTTGGCCGCTTGTAAGGAAAACGCCCTACCGCTGTACTATCGCTCCATACACCACAAATGAATGCAGTCATTCTATATCTGTTCCTCTCCTTCTGGCTCATATAACTCAGCATGATACTCTCCATTTATAGGCAAATTTCATGACTTCATTTTTCCTAATAGCTGCATAGTATTCCATTTTGTAGATGTGCCATAGTTTCTTTATCCATTTATCTGTTCTCAGATACTCAGGTTGTTTCCAGAGTACTGGCTATGGTAAATAGTGCTGCAGTGAACATAGGAGTGCAGATGGTGTTTCTGGTGTGTGTATTTGTGCCCCAGAGTATATTCTCAGAAGTGATACTGTCTCGGTCTTCTTGATGCAGATTCTGGGAGGGAAAGTCACACCTCAGCTACTGATTCTCCAGGGAAGCTGCTCGCTCGCCTGTGAACCCTCCTGAGGCCCCCAAGCATGTTTCTCTCTGAAGGCTCTGAGTGCACCCATTGCTCAGGGAGGTCTGAACTCAAGAATAAAAGCTACAGGGGCTGGAGCCATAGTACAGTGAGGAGGGTGCTCACCTTGTGCGTGGTCAACCTGGGTTCAATCCTCAATACCGCATATGGTACCCTGAGCCCTGCCAGGAGTGATTCCTGAGTGTGGAGCCAGGAGTAACCCCTGAACACCGCCAGGTGTGGCTCCCAAATAAATACAGCTCAGCAGACTCACTCCCGCGCTGTGCTCCCCAAGTAGAAAGAAATGTTCTCTGCTTTATTTTGTCACTTCTACTCTATCTCTACCTAGTGCCGGACCCTTTTCCAGTCCCTTGCACTCATTGAAGAAAAACACAGTTCCCAAGATACCTTAGAACAGCTCCGTTTTCTGTAAATCTAGTTACCTAGTTTGTTGTAAACAGTCAAGGCAGGGCAGGGCTGGGGAGAGAGCACATTGGGCCGGAGCACTGGTCTGACACACACAAGGCTCCAGGCTTAATTCCTGACACCTCGTGGCCTCCCAAGCACCAATGGGTGTAACGCTGGGCACCCCCAACACTGTTGGGGAGGTCTGTCCCTTACCAAAAAAATCAATAAATCAGTATGCAACTTGGTAAGAAATTTAAATCATAGAAAAGGGCCCTGTAGGCAGATTTGCCAGGCAAGACTTGCTCCCCAGAGGAACTACTGCTCTCTGCTCTCTGCTCTTTGCTCCTAGTTTTGGTACTTGCCGCCCATCCTAAGCAGATCGAAGAGTCTGGCCATCTGCCTCTCTCTCCTGCCGTGCATCACTGCCTCCTCCCTCAGGGACCTGGAGATCACACAATTTCCGATCGGGATTGGATATGTATTTGCTTCCTCTTTAGTTTCTTCATCCTCAACAGTAAGTCACGAAGGTGGGACCCAGTGTGTTGTGACCGGGACAACCCCAGGATCACAGCAGTGCCAGTCACACAGGAACTACCCAATGAACGGTTGGGTGAAGGGCAACAAGGGACGACAGTGCTACATATATAGATAGATAGATAGATAGATAGATAGATATAGATATATATAGATATGTCACTATTACTGTCCTCCCGTTGTTCATGTAGTGATATAGATACTGTATATATATATATATATATCACATATATCACTGATAAATATCACAGTTATATCTATATATATCAGTGATATATATGTGATATATATATATATCACTGTATCACTGTCATCCCATTGTTCATCGATTTCCTTGAGCAGGCACCAATAATGTCCTAGCCCTGAAATTTTAGCAAGTGCCACATTGGAGGATCTTTCAGGGTCAGGGGAATGAGACCCATCATTGTTACTGGGTTTTGGCATATTGAATATGCCACAGGGAGCTTGCGAGACTCTGCCATGTGGGCAGGATACTCTTGGTAGCTTGCCGAGTTCCCCGAGAGCAAGAACTAGACTCATGGTCTCATACTTCCGGGAGCTTGGTTTTATAGTCTCTGGGTCTTTGCTGTTGATGGGATTACACAGCGCCGGGTGTGTGTGGGGGGGTGGTTGGTGGGTGTAACACCTAGCTACTGGAAGATGGGGGATCTGGGTGGAGGATGCCCAGTCCCAATCTGAGCAGGCTTGGAGATCTCAGCCCCGGGTCCCGCACACCTGGGTTCCTCTGCCGGTTCCTTCATGCGTGAGGCTCATCCAAGTGTGTGGAGAGTGTTCTTAAGCATGGCTGTGGCGGTTATATATATTATCAGTGTATCACTGTATCACTATCATTCTGTTGGTCTTCGAATTACTCAAGCAGGTGCCAGTAACATCTCTATTCCTCCCAGCCCTGAGATTTTAGCAGCCTCTTCTTACTTTCTTTTCCCAATGATTGGAGGCTCTTTCAGGGTCAGGGGAATCAGACCTATTGTCGTTACTGTATTTGGCATATCAAATACACCACGGGGAGCTTGCCAGGCTCTACCCGTGCGGGCGGGATAGTCTTGGTAGCTTGCCGGGCTCTCCAAGAGGCATAAATGGGTAGTAAGTATCTTATCATATGTCACGCAGCTTCAAAGGTGGCTGATGAGGAGATTTTCTGGTGCCGGCAGGGTGTTGCTTATGGGTGTGATCCCTGAGTCACTGGAGACTGGGGGAAGCAGGCAGAGGATCTCTAATCTGGATCCCCATTGAGTCCAGAGTCCAAGGTCACAAAGTTCCGCATTATCTGGGTTCCATGGGACTTCATTCTTGCATGAGGCTTGGCTTCAGCATACGGAAAGCGGCCTGGAGCATGGCGGTGGTTGGGTAGTGGAGGTTGGCTGCCGGGGCTGGGTCCTTTGGGGTGGGAGGGGGCTCTCACCCGCCCCACAGCCTGGTGCGGAGTCCCATAACATATATGTTATATATGTTGTACATACATAACAGGAAAAGAAATGAGTTAGAAGGCTTAATTTTCATGCATCTTATTTTTCATAACTGAAAACATTTTTATATGCGTGTATTTTTTAAATAAAAAAATCTTTTTTTCGATTTTGATGGCCAAACCTAGCTGTGCTCATGGCTTACTCCTGGCTCTGTGCTCAGAGATCACTTCCCGCAGTGCTTGGGAGACCATACCTCGTGCTGGGGATCAAACTCGGGTCGGTTGTGTGCAAGGCAAGTGCACTGTTATGTGCACCCACTGTACTATCTCTCCAACCCCAAATTAAAATTGTTCTGTATTGATGAGTGCATAGTCAAGCCCACGCTCCATGTAAACTCTTTGTTGTTCTCTTTCGGCTCTGGGAAGGAAGAGTTGCAGTTGGGCATTAGTTGCAGTCAGCCCACTGGGCACAACTGCCCATGCAACCCTGTGACCACTTCCTGTGTGCCAGCTGACCAAATCCCTGCTTCCCGCTGAAGCCTGTTGACCAGGAGGGGAACGTTGCCAAGGGCTCAAGATTGTTGCATAGAGGGTGTTTTGGCTCACAGGAACTAGACTTTTTCATTCTCTCCTCCTTTCCAGAAGACTCAAGACAGTCAGGTGTGCTGCTGCCCCCAAGATACTTCCCTCCTTTCAGTTGGTAATAACCCTTTGACTGTCCACAAATGCCATGAGGAATTCATTTGCTTCCCCCTCAGGAATTTTCGTGTCATCACTGGAGATCAGTTAAGACTTGTTTAGTCTCAGTTCTACCAGAGACCCACATGCTCGCTCCCAAAGGCGAGGTTCGACCATGAGAAACTCCCAAACCCACCTCCACACAGCCCACAGCCACAATGCACAGGCAGGGGGCTCGGCCAGGGGCTTCCCTCACAGTCCTGGGTCCCTTTGACCCTGTGCCTTAGAAGGATATCAGAACTCGCTCAGGGAAATTCCCAGGCTCCATCAGATTAGTCATCAAACGTGAAGTGGGGGCACCAAAGGGCCCCCAGGAGGGAGGGAGAGCTGAAGGCATGCCAGAGCCTTAGGCTGGTCAAGAGCACAAGGCCAATGGCTGCAGCGATAGCACAGCAGGGAGGGTGTCTGCCTTGCGCGTGGCCAACCAATTGCACGTGGTTCAATTCCCAGCATCCCATACGGTCCCCTGAGCACTGCCAGGTATGACCCAAAAAGAAAAAAAACTTAAAAAAAGAACACAAGACTAGGAGCAGAGAGAGAGGACAGCTGGCAGGGCACTTGCCTTGCACACAGCAGACCCGGATTCCATCACCAGCATCCCGTATGTTGCCCCCAAGCACCCATGAGTGATTCCTGAGTGCAGAACTGGGAGTAACCCCTAACCATGGCTGCGTGTGGCAAAAAGAAAAAGAAAAAAAACCCACAAGGTCAGAACCAGAGCAACAGTACGGTGCAGTACAGTACTGCTTGCCTTGCGTGCTGCAGACCCGGGTTCCATCCCCCCTTTGGAGCCCTGAGTCTGCCAGAAGTGATCCTGAATGGAACCAGAAGTAATCCTGAGTGTTGCCAAGTGTGGTCCCCAAACCAACAAAAAAGAACTACTGGGCTCCTGGAGGAGGTGGGGTTTCTGGACACACAATGGTTGCCAATGAAGCCAGCCCCCAGCCAAGAACTCAGTCTGCTGGGCAGCACAGCTACAGACATTTCTGGGGAAGAGGGACTGCCAGCAGGGGGGCGGGGGGGGGCAAAACAAGAGAGAGAGCTTGCCCAGCAAGCCGCTGGGCTCCAATGTGTGAAAGATTGTGGCAGCCACGTTCTTTTGCCAGGTGGTACCTATGAACTCAGGGAATGAGACTGGCTTGTAGGAGCCGTGGGCAGGAAACGAGCAGGTCTGCTGCGACTCAGCACTGGATAACGTGTGGCTGCTCCAGCAACACTAGAGCCCCTTGTGGCCCTTCACAGGGCTGTGGGCCGGGGGCCGGGGTGTGTCTGATAAACAGCAGGTGCCCCTGACTCTTAATGGCCCTTCTAATGTCTTTCTAGCCTGTTCCAAGCCTACAAACACACTGTTCGTTGGTTCAGTGTTATCTGACTGTCCTCCTCTGCCCTCTTCACATTGGCAGATACTTCCAAGAGAAGGACAGGTGTGCCCTCTCCGCTGTGGGATCCTTGGCACTCCCGCGGGCACCTCACTGGGCTCAGGGGTGTTGGATGGATGGAGCCCAAGAGCGCGGCGGGGAGCAGATGAGGAGAATGTCCTGGCCTGGCCAAGGTTGCCCGTAGGACACTAGTTTGTGACCACGTGGAAAAGCTTTGGGGGCAGGGATGGGAGGGAGAATGCATGGGAGCAGTCTCTTCCAGAAAAGGAACATTTTAAAAATAGTTCACCCTGGTGGCCCGAGACCACAACTCCAGGGGAACACTGTGAGGTGAGACCAGGTCATCCTGGTGAAGCAGAAGCAAGCTGTGGAGATGGTGCAGGAGCAAAGTCTCTTGTCTTGCATGTAGATGGTTCTGGTTTGATCCCTGGCACTGCAGATGGTCTCCCAAGCCCTCCTAGGAATGATCTCTGAGCACAGAGCCAGGAGTAAGCCCAGAGCACTGTGGGACGTAGTCCCAAAACTAAAGAAGAAAAATTAAATCTCAAATAGAAAGATGGGAGTGGAGGTACCGGGATCCCCAGGAAGGTGCCCGCTACCCTTTAAGTCATTCCCTGTCCCTAGAAATGGTCTCCTTGGGGTGATTCCTGCAGCTGGGAGTAGGGTTGCCGGAGATGGCTCTGCTGCCAGACACATCTGTTAGAGGCAAACTTTCCTGGAAAGTTGCCGCTTAGTTCAGAGAACTTTTGTCATGGTCATTGAGGGGCTCAGACTCTCTGGCGGCTGGAGACAGGTGTGGAGGTTGGGGAGGGGGTTCTCAGGATGCAGAGACCAAGAAAACACCAATGTTAACTGTGTGCGGCTTGAGAATGCGCTGGGCAGCTTCCAGATCCGGCTTTGAAAAGTTACCGCACAGCCATGGTTCTCCCAACAGTACAGCAAGCGTCGCAGGGAAGCTCATCAGGCATCATGGCGCTGCACGGGGCAGGGGTGCGAGGGGCTTACTCAGGTGTGTTGTTCCTCAATCAGGCGTGGATGATGGCGGTCATGTCTCTCTGGTCACTGGTGGGCGTGACATCACTGGCCAGGTGTGTGGAGTTATTGAGTAGGGGTGTGTGGGTACTTGGCCAGGTCTGAGGGGTTATTGAGTAGGTGTATGTGAGTCACTGGTCAGGTCCGAGAGTCAGTGGGGCAGGGTGTGTGGGTCATCGGCCAGCTGTGTGGGGTCATTGAGAAGGAGTGTGTGGGTCATCAGCCAGGTGTGCAGGTTCATCAGCCAGGTGTGCGGGTCATTGAGCAGGGGTGTGTGGGTCATCAGCCAGGTGTGCGGGGTCATTGGGCAGGGATGTGTGCTCACTGTCAGGCTCTAGACTCACTGACCAGGTGCGTGTGCTCATTGTCACATCCTGAGGGATCCCGGAGTACAGAACCAGGAACAGCCCCTGGGCATAGCCAGGTGTGGCCCCAAACCACCGCCCTCTCCGAAAAGAGCAAGAACCAGTAATATGGGTCATGGAGGTCTGGAGGGCATAAAGTCCCACCTGGCAGTGCTTAGGCTGACCCACGGCTCTGCACTCAGAGATCACTTCTGGCAGTGCTCAGGGGACGCTGCGGGGCTCCAGGATGTGAATCAAGTCAGCCTTGCCCTCCCCACTGACTATCACTCCAGCCCCTCTGATCACACCACTCTGCTTTCTCCCTGCCTGGCAGTCCTCAAAGGATGGCCGAAGGAACCCCAGCCCTGGGCTGCTTTCTATAATCTGCCCAGGCCCCATGGCCCAGAAGGCGAGCACAGTACCAGAAAGGCCGGTCTTGGAGCAAGATGGGATTCAGGGTGATACCCAGGACCACACTGCAGACCAACCAGCCAGGGCTTGCAGTGGGGCTGGGGGCAGGAGGTGGGGGGTAGGAACCTGCTGTTTTGTCTGCAGTGATTGTCCCTTGGAGCTGGCATCCCCCACGTCCGCCCTCCCTCCCTGGTGGGTTCTGTGGCTCTGCCCTACCTCTGCGGAGTGGAGGCCGGGGCCGAGGCCCTGTGGGTGCGGGCACTGCGTTCCACAGCTCATCCTCTTCTCTGAGCTGGAGATTGCCCCAGGGGCTGCAGAGCGGGGTGCGCCGGTGGAGGCCAGTCCATCTTCCAGCGCACCTGGGGGAGGGAGAGAGCGGAGGGGTGTTGCTGCAGCCTCACCCAAGAACCCCCAGAGCACGGGGGTGGGGCAAGACGGAATATAAGTCACAAAAGCTCACCAGTGGCAAAAGACCCAATTAGGAAAACTCCAAAACGCATTATACTCAAAATGACAAAATCCAAAGACAGAGACAGAGTATGGAATGCAATGGGTCAAAAAAAGAAAGTTATATGTAAAGGAAAGTCCATAATATGGACAGATAGCTACTATTTCCTCTAAGAACAGCTGTAGGGATTTAAAAAAATTAATAAAAAAAATAACGTTATGGAGTCAGAGCAATAGTCCAGCACATAGGGTGGTTGCTCTGCACACAGTCAACCCAGGTTCAGTAGATTCGAAACCCAGCACCCCAGATAGTCCCCAAGAACTGCTGGGAGCGATTATTACGTGCAGAGCCTGGAGTTAACCCTGAGTGTCACTGGGTGCTGGCCCCCCAAAAACCAAACAAAAGACAATGTTTGGGGGTCAGAGAGACAGGATGTGTAAGGTATGTGCCTTGCACCCCGCCAACCCAGGTTCTATCCCCAATACCACCTACAGCCCTCCGAGTATTGCCAGCAATGATCTCTGAGCAGAGCTTGATGTGCCCCAAAAACAAAAAAAAAATTGTTTAAGTGACCCCAAAACTTTTTTTGTAACCTGCGACTTTCACTGAATGATCCATCACTGGCACGTTCCCAGACGATGTCCTGTTTGTGCATCACTCAGGACCTGGCGCTGCACGGACACTGGAGGATGTCACCATCTATTCACCTGATCCCCTGGAACTGGATATTTGTTTTCACCTTTTTTCATAGTAAGTGTCATTGTCATGCAACTCCTTGGGATTCGGGTCTTGTTCTTAATTGCTTCCTTAGGAAAACATCCTTGAAGTGAGACTACTTCTCACATCTAAATATCGAGAAGTGGGTTTAAGGGTTCTACAGAGTTTTCCTTACATAATTCCACTGCCAAGACATTCCACCAAGCCTATGTCCCTCTCATAACAAATACCAAGACACAATAGAATTAATGTGCTTGAATAGTCTCACTTGAGGAGCATGTTAAGTCAGAGGGACGAGGACAAATACCAGCTGTTCTCACAAGCCTGTGAGATACAGAAAGACTAAGCAAGGAAAAGGAAGACATTACATGGTGGCAAACACTTGGACCTGGGTTACAGAAATGAGAAATTCATGGAAGGAGGAAATGCGGGGACAGGTGAGAGTATAAGGACATTGATCAAGAGCCGTGGTCATTTAGATGGAATAGAGGTTAGGTAACTCTATGTACATCAAAACTATCAGAGTCAGGGGCTGGAGCAATAGCACAGCTGGTAGGGCGTTTGCCTTGCATGCGGAAGACCCAAGTTCGATTCCCAGCACCCGATATGGTCCCCCGAGCACTGCCAGGAGTAATTACTGAGTACATAGCCAGGAGTGCATTTCCAGGTGTGACACAAAAAGGAAAAAAAAACTATCAGAGTCAAACCTGCTTGTTGCTCCAGCATCCCAGGTCAGTCTTGTTTCTGGCTGATACCACTGGGCCTATTCTGAAACTAAAGGCAGAGCCACCCTTCCCCACCCCCCCAAACTGGGTGGATTCCAATAGCTTCCACACCCAATCCACGCCATATTAAGGGCCCACGCCACAGGTCCTGCCTCCACAGCAACCAGCTTCTGCTTGCTGCTCTGGCATCCCAGGATGAGCAGAAAAGACAAAGAAATCTTCAGTTTACTCCCTCAGCATCTTCTGGGGGTGAATTACAAAGACTCACCTGCCAGTACATCAAGAACACTAGAAAACTGATTGGGAGGAGCATGTAGAAACCCACCAAGTGCAATGAGTGAAAACAATATCACCGAAGACATCAGCAACACCAGAAAAACCTCGCCGTCTTTAGTGACACTGTGATGAGGGTGTTTAATGAGCCCACAGAAACAATAGCACAGGCCGTCAGCAAAGCACAAGACAGTATGAGAGCAAAAATGGGGGGAAAGCCCCCATTACAGTCAGAAATAAATAACAAAGCAGGTAATATTTTTTTAAGCCAATAGAAGCTCTGAACAGCAGAATAACAGAAGCTGAGCCAAAGACTGAGAAGTTCCAGGATGAGAAGGAGAAAACTGCTAACAAACAGCAGAAGGTGGGAAGTAGTCTGAAGAGAAATAAATAGCACACCAGAGGACTATGGGATGAGTTCAAGAGGAGCATTATAAGAATCATCAGGGTCCCTGACTAACAGGAAGGCAAATGTGATGATAAAACAATAGTTACAGAAATCATCTATAAGAACTTCCCAGAGTGGAGGATTACAGGCACCAAGATTCAAGGACATCAAAGGGAAAATGGACCCAATTAGGAAAACTCCAAAATACACTATACTCAAAGTGACAAAATTCGAGGAGAAAGAATATTGAATGCAGCAGATCAAAAAGAGAAAGTTATAAGCAAAGAAAAGCCGATAAGATGTACAGGGCATCTATCAAATGAAACTTTACAAGTCAGAAGAATATGGAAGGATATAGCACAAAAACTCAACAACATTAACACCTCACCAAGAATACTCTGTCCAATCAAATTATCATTCAGACTTTAAGGAATTATACAGAGCTTCATGGGCAGGAAACTGCTTAAGGAATTAATCGCCTTGAAACTATTTTTGCAAGAGTTAAAAGAGCTCCTTTGAAGGACAGGAGAAACTTCCCAACATGTGGCACCGAGTATGGCATTCACTAATGGTGCATGTGGTTGTCCTCTACTAGGTTAAAAAGGTTAAAAACATATAGCAGTTAATCATCACAAATTGATTTTTATTTTATTTTCTGATAATTCTATTTGCCATTTGTTTTAGCTGACCAAGTAATATGAAATATATTTGTTATATTCCTGCCAAGGGGCAGGCTGGAGGGGAGGAAGGGAACCTGGGGATATTGGAGGGAAAGGGACATTGGTGGTGGAATATTATATGACTGAAACAACTATTACAAACAATTTTGTAAATCACAGTTTCTCAAGAAACATTCTGGAAAAAAAAAGAGAAAATAAAAGCGACAAAAAAGGAAGAAAGAAACCCTTAAGAGTCAACAGTAGCGCAAGCATGTGATCCAAACTATAATAGATGAATTTTTTTAATGTGTTTGCTAGAAGAGGGAGCCAACTTTGGGTCATTGGTAGAGGGATGCTGACCCTGGTGGTGTATTTGGAGCTGAAATCTGACTGACACCATACAACAAATATAACAATAAAACTAATCAGGATTGCCTGACACCCTGCCAGCAAGAGTTTTATAAACTAAAAATATGAATAAAGACACAAATAAAATAGTCAGTAGCAACTGGAGGTCATGGTGAAGAGGTGATAGATACAGTGTATCTGATTTGAAAATGAAAAGGTGCTGGTGAGGTGGGGACAGGAAGTGGCAGGGGCTTGATGGGAAGAGCCACGGGAAGTGGGGGCGGCCAGGCAGGCAGAATTCCTGGGCTTCTCCATCAATCCAGGCCAGTGAGTGATGATGGAGCAGTCTCTGAGGAGGGGATATTGTGATATAAGAAAAAAAATAACGTATTTACCTCTATCCCTAGTTCTAACCACAGAGCTCCTCCACATTTGCCTGTCCATGAGAAATGGGGTAATATTTTATCTATGAATTTATTTATGTATGGCTCTGCACTCAGGGATCACTCCTGGCAAGCTCTGGGACCATACATGGAGCCAGGGATCCATCCTGAGAGGGGGTATATGCAAGGCAAAGCGCCCCAACACACTGCACCATCTCTTTGGCCTAGGAGTGATCTTTTGTTCTAAGGAGGCAGCTGGTGATGGGCCATAGGGAACATCAGGATGGGATCAGTCAACAGAGAAACCCACCTCTGATGGGGACGTGGAAGGAGGAAGGGGTGGAGGTTGAACTGATGCTTAAGTATGCCTACAAGATGCCTCCATAAAGACCCTGTCTTGTCCTGTCCCAACCATTCTTTTTTATTTGTTTATTTAGTAGGGTTTTTTGTTTAATTTTTATGGTGCCAGGAATCAAATGTAGGATCTCACAAACGTGTGACATGTGCTCTGCCACTGAGTCACATTCCCAGTCCTAGTTATCATTACTCTGAATCATTTATTCTCAAATTGCTGTGATATCAACCTACAGTATAAAAAGCAATTAATATCATAATCCAGTGCACATAAATGGAACAATTTAATTGATTACAATAATGCTCATATAATTTTTTTCACTTTTTGTTTAATTTTTGGTCACACTGCCTTAAAATGAGTTCACAACCTCTAATCATTAGAATCCAAAGTTTGAAAAAACACTTGTCTAAGCTACTTCTATATTTTTAACTAAAACCCCTCCATTCTTACAAGTTACCGAGCCTGCAAAGTGAGGGACAGGAACCCCTATTAATAGCTGCTTGGTCAGAAGTTCAGGGAGGCAAAATGGAACTTGCAACAGGACTCTGAAGGGGTAGGGGGTGGGGATGGGGGCCAGGGAGAGTCTGTGCTAAGTTTGGGTGGTTAGGGTTCAAATGGAACTTAACTGTAGGACGACACCTAAGTGGTGTCTGGAGACAAGGAGAACACTTTGCCTGTGGTATCAGAAGAGTTGGAGCGATAGCACAGCGGGTAGGGCGTTCGCCTTACACGCGGCCAACATGGCCGACCCAAGTTCGATTCCTCCGCCCCTCTCGGAGAGCCCGGCAAGCTACCGAGAGTATTCGATATGCCAGACACAGTAACAACAAAGTCTCCAATGGAGACGTTACTGGGCCCGCTCGAGCAAATCGACGATCAACGAGAGGGCCTTTACCTTTACCTTTTATCAGAAGAGTTGTGAGTAGAAATGGCAAAAGGAAGGGCTTGGCTCAGAGAGAAGGGCAATGATCGTGGGGTTCCTGACGCCTGAGAGGAGAAAATTCCCACTGGGCTTCTGAAAACAATGCCAAGAGTTAGGCCAGTTTTAGTTTCCTGTCTTCCA